ACCATAAAGAAATTATAAATATTTGAGAAGACAAAAAAATGACCAAGATATGATAGATATGAATTAATTCCCCAAAACAAATATAACTGTTTTGTATCACAAACATATTCTAGTAAATACATGAAATAAATGTTTTAAAATGGTCTGTACTAATTATGTACAGACTTTTTTGTCATATTCCCAAACAATACAGTAGCTTTTGCCAAGCATTGATAATTGTACTAAGTATTATAAGTAATCTAGCAATGATAAAGTCTATGAGAAGATGTGAATCGATTTTATACAAATATCACACCGTTTTATCCGAGGAGCCTGAACATCTAAATTTTGTGTCTGTACAGGATTCAGTTCCTTGTGGTTGCTGAGAGAGACAGGTGTATTTTTATTTCCCACATCTTGTAAAATAGTTTGCTTCAATGAACAATTCTAGATTGACCATTTAATTTCTGCCTCGGGGGGTTGTGTGTTTTATGACCTTTCATTGTGAGCATCCTCCATCCTTCAGCTCCTGTTTGCTGAAATGAGGGCCTGGGGCCTGGGATAAGGCTGTCCTGAGCAGGTTTGTGCTGGCCCTGAGCAAGCTTGCTTCCTGCTCCATTAGAGTTTGGAAATTTGTTCACTGATTACCATTAATGATGTCTCTTTAGGTACTGTGCTAGGATTTTTACTGAGAGTGCTGTTTACTTATTTCTTCTGTAGGGTTCACAGAGCACTTCTAGAATCTATAGATTCTTGTCTTAATTCTGGAAAATTCTCAAGTATTAGCTTAGATGTTTTGTTTTTGGTGAGATCTGATGGGATCAGATTTAGACCATATCTTACTATTCACAAGTCTCCCATTCTCTTTTTTTTTTACCATCTCCTTGTTCTCAGTAATTATTGTAGGTAATTTCAGCTGTTTCCTAGTTTGCTGAATCACGTCAGCTTTTTAATTGGTTGATTTTCTACAAATATTTTCTACAGTTACTATTCCATAAAAGTTCTATTTGGTTATTTTCTAGATGTGCTTTTCAATTTTTAATCTTCTTGCTTGCTTGGTTTTTGGGTGTTTTTTGTTTTGTTTCGTTTTTAGCATTTCCACACATAGTTTATGTCTGATACTTTCAACACCTGAGTTGGTTCAGTGTTTCAGTTACTTGTGTTGGGCTTTGTGAAGTTAAATTACCTTGTGAGCACCAGCCCCGGGATTATGTATCCCTCACAGACTGTGCTGTGTCTATTAATCATCTTTCAGAGTCATTGGCTCACATGGGACTTGAGCTTGGTGTTGGGTTTCTACTTTTATTTTTTGAATGGTGAGATATACGTAGATGCTTTAAAATATTCATTGAAGTCAAGGATAAAACTGGAAGAACAAATTGAATGAAACAGGAGGTCAGTAATTTAAAATCATATTGAATATTAATTTTAAAACTTTATAATATTATCCTTTTAAGTTTTAACTAATGGAAAAGATAAGTTTCACAAAAACCCCATTAACTCAGTATATAAATTTATATTCATTTATCAAAAGACAAACAGATCCAAAGGAATTAAATGTTGGGCAAAGAAACCCTTACTTTTTTATTTCAAAACTATATTCTCGTTCCTCAGATTATACAGAATACTGAGATTCAAGATTATGTAGTGAGTGTTCTTCTCCCCTGATACTCTTGAAGTACACAAGATTATTACTTTTTTATGAGACTGTTTTTATAGTTTTTGTTCAGGGAGCTAATACAGTGCATGCATATTGTAACTCAGTGGTTCTAAGTATAGGTTTCTGTTTCACTAGAAGGACAGTGACTAGGTCTGCTTTCTTGTTAAAATCTTTGTCATCTGCAAATATATTTTATTAGGAAGTGATGTTTAGATGCAGAAGATTTGTTCAAATCCAAACTATCGTAATGTGTTTACTTTTAATTCATTCTGCTTTTAGTATTTTGTTCCTCTAACAATTCTGTTTTTCAGTTATCTAATTTGTGAGGTTTTATTTTTTTTCTTATATCTCTTTTATTGTAGTTCCACGAAGGGTTATTTTTAAAACAATAGTTTTAATTAGGCAAAATGAAATGCAGGTTTATTGCAATCCAGGTCTTACTTTGTGAAGTAAGAATGAAGACTGCTGTGTATGATGAAGCGCAAGCTTATGTGACTTTGGACATGCTGTTATAGTCCCGTTTTGTTAGTGACAGTAGCTGAGACTTGTAGTTCCTCCTTCTTTAACATATGTTTGGAATACCATGGTTAAGTCTACATAACGATGGTTAATAGCACTTTTCTTCCTATCACATGTTTTACTAAGAGAGTGTAAAATCTGGCACAATCACAGATACCTATGAGACTTTCCTTAGTTTGCAAGGCAAGTGGAGGAAGAGGAGACTGGGGAGTTTGGATCGAGTCAGAGGGACCGCTGGAGTCTCCAGAAGGAGGACGTGGGCCAGGTGGGCACTGAGCAACGTGTCTCCTAGGCGAACGTGTTCATGTTCGCAGGCCTCCCAGCAGCTGCCCATTTTCTTTACTTTTTGGATTGCCGTTCCCTGGCCATGTGTAACAGAGATGGGTGAATTTAATCCTACATGACTATTCTGTGATTCTGTGGAAATGTTTCAGAAAATAGTAGCCATGTGTGAGGGTCCTCGGTCAGAGACTGGAAAGGCTGGATGGAGGGTGGCACTCGGCTCTTCGGTCAGGCCACAGATCGTTACCACTCAGTAACCACTTAGGCAGGTAATGACTGTTCTTAGAGAGGGCTTGGTTTCCTCAGTGTGTACCCTGATAATTAGGAGTGTGAGGTGGGACATCTAAGGGAGTGTGTCTTTTGGCTACTAGGTGTAATCTTTGGGGCACAGTAACAAAATCTGTTTTATCAAGTGCACAAAATTTAATGTAAGACTAATTCAAGTTCTATTACATATTCTAGAAATCTGCATCACTTTATACCCATTTTTTTAAAGGTGGAAGTATATTTTTGTATTCATTTTCCTCTTTAATTCAAACTTTCTTATGACAATTTCCTGTATCTTCAATCATCAAGATACGAGTAAATGTTAGGGTTTGAGGGGCTGTAATTTTTTAAGTCCTAGGAAAACTACAGTTCAAAAAGTATAAATGGGAAGGTGGATTTGTGACATTAAAGAAATTGCTTTACCACAGTATGAGCTTAGACTCAGGATGGCTGTTGATTGTTCTTCATTCATTGCTACCCTTGATGATACATAGACTGTAACTGATCCAGCTTGTAAGCATGACTCAGTTTCCTTCCATCCAAAGAGTGGAATTTGGTTCATAAACACATAAAAGAATAGGGTTAACTGGAAGGATGCAGAGGATTAGGTAAGTCTCATGATTTGAGAGTTCTTGTCTAAGGGATACCATGGAAAAAAGAAAAAAAATATATAATTGTCCATTAAATATTTTATAAAGACTTCTTTTTCTGGCCAAAGAAAACCATGGCTATGATTTTTCATTTTTAGTACCTGATATTTCTTTATTGAAAATTCTGTTTTTAACTGAAAGATCTTTATTATTTTTACCTAATGCTGTAATATTTTGAGATCAACCATTCAAAATATATAAATTAGTTAATCTCAAACCTAAAATATTTGAATGCCAAAAATAAATAAGGAGTCTCTTCAGCCACTGTTATTTAATCCTTAGGGTAATTGATAAAAAGAGATGGAGTAAAAATGTAAAGAGTAGTTATTCTTACTAGAATGTTAGGCACTGTACTCGGCTGTCTCCTCACTTAATCAACACTCAGATCCTCTGGTCTATTCCTGTGACCCCACCTGTGCTGGAGGGAGAAACCCCTGGACGAGCCAGTGAGTCCAGATGGACTTCCAGGTTGGATGCCTTGTTGCTCACAGAACTCATTATCGTACTCGTGGCCAGAGTAGAAATCTGTCCTGATTGTCTTCCTTTTTTCTCTTATCTTTGTAGCTTTCAGCAAGCTGTGCATAGTTGGCGACCTGCCTTAGGAGTCTACCTCTCTGGGTTGGGTGGTCTCCGTGCATGTGGGCTGCAGCCAGGGTGCCACAGCTCAGGGAACCGGTGCTTGTCTAGGATGCCGTTTGTTCACTGTGTTCTGCAAACAGTTTTGTAATTATGTCGTCATCTGAAAAAGCTGTAACTGTTGTGTCAATCTGAAGAAACTTGTGGGTTTTTGTTTGTGTGGATTTTCTATACATACAGATCTGTCATATGTGGCTTTCAAATTCCTCACCAAGCAAGAGCATGATCCAGGCACTTAAGGAAGATAGAGAATTCCCTGAGGAGATTAGGCTTTAGCAAAGTTGTTAAGCCTTAGTCACACATAACAAAAAAGCAAAAACTAGAAAATGCGTAAAAGACTAAGGTAGACATGCCTGAGAAGGTGCTGTGGATTAGACATGCTTTGGGAAATTTAAATTTCAACTGTGTTGAGCTTACTTTTTTCTTGCCTTGGTTTTCAGTGTCCTTTTGTTTGCCCCCTTTCCCTCTTTCTCTCTGACACAGATGGGTATGTTCATCACCTGCACCTGGAAAAAATTCTTCCCTCGAGACCGTTAGGATGTAATGTTTGAGCTCAGTTGGTTTGAGGAGATGGTTGAAACCACCACTTTCTTGTGAGCTGCAAGACTAGGAGATTTTTAGATGTTCTCTTTGATGTTAGTAAAGCATGTTATAGTTTACATAGTGTTTGCTATATAAAAACTGCAATATCTGTTATGTCAAGTCCAGTCTATATGAAGTAGTCCATAAAATAAATCCTTTGTTTCCAATTTGTTGGATGTAGTGGTGAAACTCATTCTTGTGTGTTTCTCTCGAGTTTGATAGATAAATCTCTTGACTTTTCAGCGTGGAGTGGGAAAACAATTCCTGATTACAGTTCTTTTCCCCATTTAAATTTCTCGTTTTTTCTTTTCTCTTTGCTCTCTTTTCTCTCCCTCCCTCTCTCCCTGCCCACTCTGATTTTCTTTGTTTTGGGATATTTTTCTCAACTGTCAGTGGAATTATTGTCTTCCTGTCTCCACATTCAGGTAGTGTCAGTGGCTGAGTATCACCGCAGGATCGATGCTCTAAATACTGAAGAACTTCGCACTCTCTGCAGACGTCTCCAGGTGCCCTCCATAGTTCCCACCCTCCGGAGATTAAGTACTCCTGGGCTTTAGTGTCCTTTGTCAGGGAAGATGTCACATTTGACAGCTTTGTTTTGACTCCAGCACTAAAGTAACCCATCAGAAAATTCTTTTTGTACTGAAGAATGTAGTATTGCTTTAGAGATCTGTGGGATTCTTTTCTGTCATCTTTTCATTTGAAAAGTATTCAGAATAATTTTCTGTCACTTCAGAACTGTGTTTCCTTGAGTGATGAGTTTTCATTCATGTTTAACATTGGAAGAATGCCTGAGATTCGAGATTTACTATGAAACAGAATCGAAAATGTGGGTTTATAGGACAATTTTTTAAATTTAATGGGCAGCAAGGCTTAATTTTTTTTTCTCTTCTTTAAGGCTATTTCAGTTGTTATAACTCCACATCACATATCATAAGGGGAAAAATTCTTTTTGTTCTTGAGATATTCTTAATTGGTATAAGAAATACTCTGGAATAGTATAAATCAGGCACCAGAATGAGATAAATTATTTAAAATTGCATGAAATAATCTTCATGATTTTTTTAAAAAATGAGATATCCAATTGAAAACTCATTTTTCAATGTGTGCATTATCAGCTGTGTGTCTCCAGCATCTTAGTGTAAGCTAAGGTATGTTTTCATGGCTTTGCTAGACCTGCTGGTATTTTTCTTTTCTTTTCATGCTGCCTTGGATTTCTTTTTCTTTTTTCTTTAAATTTTCACATCACTGATGATGTGAAAGCATTCACATTTAGCTTCTCATCATATACAGTGCAGTTGTATAGCATGTACTTGTTGAAGACAGGCACCGTGCAGATCTGCCAAGAGATACACTAGAGGCCAGAGTAACCCAGCTATTCCATTCCCGTGTGGAGTTAGCTGCCGGGCTCTGCTTCATTTTAGTGATCTGCTCCACAGAATTCTGTGTATTTTCCAACTTAAAGGTTTGATCAATAATAGTTATGTTTCATATCCTTTATTTTCTAATGTTTATATATTAAAATTAATACAAAAAGTAAGTACTAACAGAATAGACTGTATAGTAGTAAGTTTTTAAAAGGTCAATCAACATTTTTAACATTTAAGCTAACATTTTATCATTTTAAGAATATACCAAGCAAAGCAGGAGATCTAATTTTTTTTTTTAAATTGTGAACAAATTAACTTCAAAATTTATTGTTTCAAATAGAAAAAAATGTAGTGTTTAAAAGTTAAAAACTGAAGGCATTTTTAAGAATGGGAACTTTTTCAGTGAAGCAAATAAGTGTAGACATACGAAGGAGAAGAAAATGACATGCTTTTTATTTTATTGTTCTTTAATGTTTTGATTCCCGGGAAGATTTCATAATTGTTTTTGACAAATGTTAAGTTTAGTATGAAAAAGTAATCCTACATATTTTAAGTAGCACTCAATTAGCTACTTAGTTTCGCGCTTCAAGGGCTAAAGTTTGCGTGGAACTGTGTCCCATTACGTGGGACTCCTTAGTCCAAATAGACTCTCGCGACCGGTAAATTCATTACTGGTTCTTGCTCACGCAGTGGATGAGAATTGTCTGAAGGTCTTTCTCTGTATTGGACACACCACTGGTGGTGGGCATCTTAGCCTTATCAAACCCTAAGCTAAAGCTTCAGTCCTGAGGTATAAAATGTTACTTAACGCGAAAGACAAACTCTGGAGAGCTTGTCGGAATCGTGTAGTAACGCACTGCTCCCGTTTCCTTCTCAGATCACCACCAGGGAAGACATCAGCTCAAAGCAGGCGGCTCCCGCAAAAGCAGAGCTGGAGTCTGAATCTTTCCGACCCAACCTCAGTGACCCCAGCGAGCTCCTGCAGCCAGACCATATCGAGAAGGTGTGACCATCTGTGCGCATGCATGTTGGGTGTGTTCTGTTCTCCGGGTTGTAGCTGCTGCTCCTCTGGCCTGAAGAGGAAGGCACCAAAGCTCAGCAACTGGTGTTAACAGAGGGAGGAGCAGCTGGATATAAGTGACGCTAAGAGAGTGACCCACAGCAGCCCAGGCCAGCCTGGGTCGAGACCCGCGCTTGGTCTGTCCCTCTATGCTGTCACTGCCCGTGTTTTATCTCATGTGGTCCTGACAACAGCTGTAGGAGTTGGGTGTTGTCAGTGTGCAGAATTTTTATAAGTGAAGAAATTGTTCACATGGATTAAGTTACTGAAGCCTGATTTTGAACCCTGATTATCTGGCTCCAGAGCCCATGATCTGAAAAGTGTTTCAGTAATCAGGGAGCAGCCCATCTAATTTTTGATAGTTCAGTACAGTGGGCACAAGCAAAAGTAATCTGTTTTTCTTACCTCTGGTTCTTCATGAATCTTTTCCTACTGGAAAACTAATATTTCATGCTGAGAAATACATGATTAAATTTCAAGTATCTCAGGATCTTTGAGAATGATAAACTACTGGTTTTTCTTTTTCTAGCCTGCATTTTCTAAGTACAATAAGTTCCAACTCCTGTTAGTATCCTGTATACTGATAATAAGCTATTGAGTAAAAGCTGGCATTTCCCCCCTAAGCTCACCAAGCATCTTCCACCAAGAACCATTGGCTACCCGTGGACTCTGGTCTATGGGACGGGCAAGCACGGCACCAGCCTGAAGACCCTCTACAGGGCAATGGCGGGTCTGGACACCCCGGTGCTGCTGGTGATCAAAGACAGTGACGGCCAGGTAGGAACACTAACTGCGCAGGAACCCTGTCATGAGAGAAATTATTTCAACAGCACATTGTACTGTGTAAGTGGTAATTATGGGGTAGTTATAAGATGCAAGTTTCTGCTGAGTGGAATAGAGGATAAATGTGAGTAATATGAACATGAATATGAATAACGAGGAGTTTTGTCTTCACCGATTTTGGTGTGTTAGAGAAGAACATCTAATTCTATGAATATCTTGATATTGAGCAAAATATACTAAGTATAGTAAGATCCAAAAAAGAGTGAAAGTGGGGTTTAAAGAGTTATTCATATCAGTGAGGTTCGTAGGAAGGGCAAGGGTTGACAGTCGCGAAGCCCGGGTAGCATTGTGATGGATAAAGGTGATTGCAGTTGGTTGTGGTGGCACAGGCCTGTGTCCTAGCACTCTGGGAGGCTGAGGCAGGAAGGTGGCAAATTCGAGCCCAGCCCGGGCAGCTTAGCAACTTAGTGAGACTCTGTCTCAGAGTAAAAACTAAAAAGTTTTGGGGGTATGTAACTCAGTGCAGAGGCCCTGGGTTCAATTCCCAGTACGGTTTTAAAAATGGATTGTTTAATAGTAATAGGAAGAACAAAACCATAGACAAGAGAGAAACATTGGTTTGCCCTTAGCTTTGGAGGGGTCAGTTCAGCTCACTGGAGAGGAAGGAGAAAGTGAGTCAGCAATGTTGATTAAAACGGATTGCTGGTGACATTGGTAGCTTTGCTGTCTGCTGTGTGCTGTGTGCTTGACTGGTCAGCTCAGCTGTGTTACACCGTTTGATCATTAGTGCCCGAGGAGGTTAACACAGTCTTCCCTGCTTGGAGTTAACTCGCCCAAGGTCATATGTTCAAGCAAAGGCTCTGGTAGAGTGCATTCCTGCTACAGCCATGGCACAGGGGAGGGTCACACGCGTGGTCTAGATGGAAATCACCCAGTGAAGAGGAGGGCACCGTGATTCCACTCAGGCTGTCCATGAGTGGGCAGGCTGTGTCTGTGTGGTGCTAGGCTGCTGCTCTCGGAAGAGGCACGGGGGAGCTTCTCAAGCTTCTCACCAGTGCTCTGTGTCGGGTCTGAATGTCATGGGGGGCTTGGCTTTGTGATGATTCCACAGTGACTGTGTTTTTGCATTTCATGGACTTACTTCCCTGTATATATAGATTAACGTTTCAGTCAGAACATCTTTTAAAAATTAGAAGTGTAAAGAAAGACTGTGAGGAGAGAGAGTAACTCCAGAAATCACCTGCCAGCCTCTGATGTCCTGCTGTGATGTGCAGCTGAGGGCCCAGGCACTGAAGCAGCGCATCCCACTGTCTCGTGGTCATCACTCCTGATGCCAGGCCATCTGCTGTGTGCCATACACGGCCAAGGCTGAAGGACCAACAGCCCAAAACAGAGCCTACGCATGGGATCCCGGTTTTCTAATGATACAGAAAACAGTAACTTGTATTTTAGTACTAGAATATTTATCTGGACTGGAGGATTTTTGCTTTTCTCAGCACTGTGACAGAATGTTATCCTTATTATATATACATCACCCATGTAAGTCCTCCTGAAATGTATTTACCACTTTTTAAACTGTCTACTTAACTGTTATAATAAATATCTTTTTAGATTTCAAAGTTAGGAAACATCTCAATTTTCCCTATTAAGAAGTTGATGTGTTTTGCATATGATGAGAATGTGAATGATATATCATTTTTCTCTTTTTAAGAACAAGTGCATAAAGTATTCCAGATTTCAATTTTTTGCATTTTATTTAAGCATAAATAATGAGGGTAATGCTTAATGAAACAAATTGATAGCCGTGTTCTTGAACATCCCTTTGTAATCCCTAGGTCTTTGGGGCATTAGCATCGGAGCCATTCAAAGTGAGCGATGGCTTTTATGGGACGGGAGAGACCTTTGTGTTCACATTCTGTCCAGAGTTTGAGGTAAGGAATACTGTTGTGTATCTGTTTACATAAAGAGATGGCATAGCAAAGAAAACACACACTTCGGTTCATGGTCATTTAGGTTCAAATGTGAGATTTTCCCTAACAGGATTAACATTGTCCGTTAAAAATAAGAGTGTGTGTTCTTTACCAGAGGTGTCTATGAACAAAATAGGAAGGACCAGCTAACACGGCAGAAGTTCTCTTAAACGCCTGTGCTTGCCAGTGCTTTCCGTTCTCTGGGCAATGCGTACCCGTTGATACACCCGAGTCTGTCATCGCTACAGGCTTCCTAAGCTCCTCCTTATTCTCAAACCTTGTTATGAGGTTGCTACCTCATAGCTATAATAACATTAATTAAGTGACATTTACTGTGAAAATACCAGTGTTAAAAAGATTTATTGAAAACGATAATGAATACTTTTGAAAACCATGGTAAAGCTGAGGTTCTACATATTGCTGTTATATTAGGTTTAGGTAAAACACACAGAAAAGATTAGAACAAATATTTAAGAATATTAATGGCTAGTTTTGTTCTCAGATTTCTCAAATGTTTTTAACGTTTTACTTTTCTTCAGAGAAATTGAAACTGGAAATATAAATATGTATCATAAGTGTGATCACTGTAAGAATGATGAATACCAAATCCATACCTGAAGAAAAGACCTTGGCCCTGTTTCCGAGTACTGTACATTTATATTTAGTGTTAAAAGAAAAACTAATGTCAGAAGAGAGAAGTGTGTCTAAGGAGCTAACAAAATATTTGAGGAAGTGAGATAAGCAGCCTTACAGGGCAGGGCGTGCTTTCGGGGCTGGTCACACAGACACCTCTGAAACCCAAAGCGCTGGGGCCCTGCTGGGCTGAGCTGTAGGAGTTACTTAGGGTAGACTTTGCCAATCCCTGGGTTTGGGAGAACTAGCTGTTTAGTGACCATTGTCAGCTGTACATGTCAAGCTTTTTTTCCATTCTTATAGGTCTTTAAGTGGACGGGAGATAATATGTTTTTTATCAAAGGAGACATGGATTCATTAGCTTTTGGTGGTGGAGGGTAAGTCTCTTGAGCATTTCACCATGAGATTTTAAAAAATTTTTTATTTTAATGTAATAGAAGTTGATATTAATAAAGAAAATATAAAAGCCATTCTATGAAAAAATAAGTTTTCATAACAAAAATTATTAGAGAATAACAATGGTAAATACGTTGTATATTATGATCTTAAAAGAATATATTTTCATTTGCTAATCTCTTTTGAAGAAACTTGGAGAATGCTTTGGGATTATTTATAAATCAGTTGTCTTTGGAAAATCCTGACATTAGAATCCAGACTTGTAGGTTATGGCAAAGAAAGTATATTTATAAGAAGATACCCAAGTATAGTATTTGAAAGTTGGTAAAGTATTTGTTTCTTCATTTTTAAATGCTATTTAGTTCATTCCCTTTAAACTTCTTACCTTAGAGTATAGTAGCTCTTTGATATTTGAAAGGAAACTAACCACCTTACTACCTTTGAACTTCTCAAATTCTCACATATAACATGGTGGGATGTCATTTTTCCCAATGTGTAGGACAAATCTAAGAGTGATCCTATTAGTTTTCTCTGGAAACTATTTTGATTAATGTTTTAGACAATAGGAGAGATTTGTTTTCCCACAAAAACTTTTGGTGACCCCTGAATGATCAGGGTTTTGGCCTGTTTGAGCAGTACGGGTCAATCCAGTGGATACTTTTGGCGTCCCGAGCACTGGGAGGAGCTTGATTCTTTTTTGTGGTGTTGAGAGACAGCCTGTGCTGCTCCCGGACAGACCCTGCTTCTCAGACAGGGCTTAGGAACCAGTTCCTTCCTTGGTGCTGTCGGACACAGGCGCTGAATGGTGTCCAGGCTTGTAAGCATGTTATGTTACCGTACCCTATAATTAAGGGTCTGTCATTCTAATTTTTTCAGGCCTTGTTGGCCTATGAGAATACTTAGCATCCTAGGTGATTCTGACAAATTTTCTTACAACTTCCTTATAAATAGGTATTTCGAAGAGACAATCACGGTGATTAAAAAGTAACCATGGTTATAGTAGCCTTCTAGGTTACTTTTTAGTTTTTGGACTCAACATATACGGTTTATGTGATCCATTCACACTTTTTTTTTTTGGTACCGGGGCTCAAACTCGGGTCCTTGTGCTTGCACAGCAGGCGGTGAAACCACTGAGCTAAATCCCCGGCCTATTCACACCTTTTTTGGCAGGGTGAGAGCATCATTTAGCTCTCCCCTAAGTGGTATTCTTACTTGTGATTCTTATAGCTCTCCAAGAAAGCCTCATAGTCATGATACAATTTGAAGCTGATGTCTGCTGAAACTGGATTTTGATTTCATAACATGATTCCATCAAACTAAAGTAACCATTGGAGCATTTGATAGGAAGACAAATTTCCCATCTTTTGGGAAAAAGTATACATTTAGAAAATAGAAACCATGGGAACTGAATGCTCCAGAATTCTAACCAGGAACCTTATGTCATAGTCCATTTTCTGTTGCTATAGCTAAAAACCTGAAGCTGGGTACTTAAAAGAAAAGAGGTTTATTTAGCTCACAGATCTGGGGGCTGCAAGTCTGAGATTGAGCAGCCGATCTGTTTGGGCTTTGCTGAGGGGCCCCTGCAGCTCCATCACAATATAGCAGAAAAGTAGGAAGAAAAACAGCCTTGTGCAGCAGAGATTGCCTGGCAAGACAGGAAGCTGGGAGGCTCAGGCAAGAGGCTTGCTCTAACAGATCCTTTCACAGGGATGGTTCGAGGTCCCATGGGAACCCATGAGACTCTGCCTGGGATGGTGCCCTGCCTAGGGAGGAAATTGCTTCTGCTAGCCCTTCCTCTTACATGTTCCGCCCCTCTCAACATAGCTGCACTGTGGACCACACTTGTAGTACATGAACCTTGGTGGGGCAGAGGGCACCCTCAGGCACTCCCCAAAATCAAGTCATGATGTGGCAGGCTTCCCATGGGCTGTGCAGTTACACGACCTGCTTCGGATTCCAGCTGTCTCACACTACACATGAGACCTTAAACAAGGTCCTCACAGCCTAAATTTTCCTCTGCTCTAAATGCCACACAGATGTGTGGGGGTTTCCACTGAAATGTAACTAGTCATATTTTTAAAAGTCTCACTCTCCTGTGATATCTAAGATGATGTTTAGAGACAGGAATATCTCTGAACGCTGTGAGAATGAGCACTCTTTGTCCACTTGCCTCTTCTGATTGGCGAGAGAAGCTCCCCATAGGGTGGAGAGCAGTCCTGTCATTGCGTGTATTTTCTCTCTAGGTTTGCATTTCAGTTAAATAAGTTGGACCTTATTATCTGTCTTTTATTAAGTTCCTGTTATACCTGTGTTCTGTCCCTCTGATAAAGAATCTCATTATCATGTCCTTATCCATTTGAAGCCTTTCAAACTGAGCTCTTTTATTAAATTACTTCTTACTCAGAAAACCAGAATTATTTTCACAAAGTTTAGCATCTTAGGGAAAACAAATTCTAGTTGCTCATACTGATCATTTTTAACAGTAAAATTTCTCTTTCTGGATATTTTAAAGAAATATAAACTTTATTCACCAGACTTTTAACATTAATTGCACTTTTAGATGATATAGAGGTTCATACCTTAAAGAAGTCACGTTAAATATATTAAAATCATATGACAAAAGAAACTTATAAAGCCAAGTAGAGAATTACAGAGTGGCACTTGTCTCAAAAACTAATTCTGTATGAATTTAATTTTAAATAACTCATTCCTTGGTCTGCATAGGAAATAAATGATTTTATACTGGGATAAGAACAAAAGAAAATTGCTTGTCAGGGTAGGAAAGAGAAGGAAGAGTTTGGAAAAATTAATGGTTTCAGGCCTGTTGAATACTGAAATGCCTCATTTAAATTATTTTACAATTTATGGCATGAGTATTAAGGTATTGTTACTTTTATGTATTGCAGAGGAGAATTTGCTCTTTGGCTTGATGGAGATCTCTACCATGGAAGAAGCCATTCTTGTAAAACATTTGGGAATCATACACTTTCTAAAAAGGAAGACTTCTTTATCCAAGACATTGAAATCTGGTCTTTTGAATAAGTACAGTGCTGTCTCTCTGAGCAGGATAATGGCCCAAACCTGACATGGACAGGCACTGTTTGGAATGTTCAAGAAGCAATACAATGTAACAACGTTTCACTCGTGCTTTAAAATTAGTCTGTCACCATTTCTTACAGCTATAATTTTGGAGTTTATTTTTCCAGTCACGTTCCTGTCCCAGAGTTCCTTAGGGTTAGCCTATGGCAGGGTCCACACTGAGTGATAGCTTTTTCGTCTGAATTTTGACAGCATTTTGATCATAGTGACCACTTTGTTTTCAATCCATGCTTTCTCAGTCTTCTGATAGGATGGTGCTCTTCTGTTGATCCCAGTTTTAAAATTCCATTGTTTGTGTTACTAGAACAGTGTAATGCGGGCACTGAGGGAATGACACCTTCCTCCACGTGAGGTGTCACGGGTGACGTGTGGAGCTGCTCACCTGCTCTTACGAAAGAGGAACCAACCGCATGCCGAAAGAACACACACTTCACAGACCACTGAGTTCTAGTTTCGATTCACACTATAACATTCTCTTTCTTAATTTTGCACGTACTCTCCATTTCATTTTAAGAAAATGGAATTTGAGGAGAATTCCGATTGTAAGAGTACAGCAGTGCACATGATCTGCAGGTTTGGGCTCATGCTTTCATCATTGGCTCCTCAGATAAAGAGCTCAAATTGACAAAGGAGAACGAGAACTTAATGATTCTATTGGATTTAGTATATTAAGCAAGAAATTCTAGTATTTACTATTTATAGCTTAATAGGGCATTATCATAAATACACAGACCACACATGGATGCATCAGCTGCATATTTCTCAACTTACTGTGTCAGGTATACTGTTTTATAGTTTAATTGTTTTAGCCTTGTTGCACACCAGCCCCTAAAATATAGGCTTTTTTCTGTTCAAAAGGAAAAAAGTGTTTTTCTTTTTTTAGTGGTATATGTTACTTTCATTAGTATTTGCTCTTACAAAGGGCAGTGATTGTAGTAGACAATATTGTAGCTCAGTAGACTTGGTGAATATGCAAACTTACTGTCAAGTGACCTCAAAAAAATGAAAAGATAGAATACACTAGTAGTTCTTATCCTCTTTTGTAGGAAACCAATAATAAGCCATTGTGGCAATAATTCGTCAGTTAAATTTCAAAGCTTCATGTGACGCAAAAAGAAAAAACCAAAAAAACCCCTGCTGTTATTCATGTGACAGTGACTTTGTGCTGAGATTTCAGCAATTCCAGATAAACATGTATATCTTGTAAATTAATGTTTAAAGTAGTTTCGTTCTTACAGAAAGTGTTGATTGCCAGGTTGCTTATAGCACTTTATTCTGAAAATGAAATTATAAGCCAAATATGTTGGCTTACATAGTTTTAGTTGAAAAATACTTAAATATATTTGGTGAGATGATAATAATCTAAAGAAAGCATAATACTAATCAGAAGCAGACCCAGTATTCTGCTAAGATGCTAGGGCTGCATATGGATAGAGACACAGGGCGTTCCTTCCTTGGCTCTGTAATGCTCTCGTTATAAGTTAATAACCGTGTATAGATTACATGTTTACAGCATAGGGAATTGTAAATAAATACATCAGGTTTTTTCTCCCTTTGGTCTTCCACAGCAGTATTATTGTCTTTGTGGAGTTGACTAATCATAAAATAAAATTTTAAAAATCCCGTAATGGATTTCAATTACAATAAGGTCATAGTGGTGTATACTAAATAAAATTAAATACGTAAATACAATCTTGAGTTTGGATTTATTTAATAATCAAGTCCTTTTCATGTATCAACACGCTGTCATCTGTGTTTGAGCCCACATTGTGTAGGTGCGGGGGTTGTAGTGGCAAAGGCTGTGTTGAGCTAGAGGCGGCACTGCGGTTTGCAGAGACAGGAAGAGGGCCTTGGCACATGGGAGAAGCGCATCGTTTAATATTTTCACAGTACACTTTTCATGTGGGTGAGAGTGCATGACAAGCCCTGTGTATGCATTGCCAAGAAAGGCGTTCACCCCACAGGGACAAGGAAGAGCATCGGAGTGGACAAGAGATGTGGTGGAGCTTGCACTAGGGGAGCATCTCTGAAAAATAGATTCCAGAAGGAAAGACTGGAGACAAGAGCAAGATAGGAGCTGTGGTGAAAGCAGCAAAGTGATGCGGTCCGGGTAAGAACAGTGGTAATGGCGATGAGGAAGGAAGCTTGGACTTGGAAGAGATTTAGGAGTTGAATGTTGCTCAGGTGTCAGACAGAAAGCTAAAGACAGCACTCAGAAGCTTCAGATGGCCAGAGGAGAGACAGGCAGGGGCAGTGGAAGGACGCGGGTCATGGATGCTCCAATGCGACACGGGAAGTTGGAGAACTGACTCAGTATTCCACTCTGAAAGACAGAATGCTCTAACAGCTGCACAGAAAGCTATATGTAAGGGGGAAACGCCTCACAGATCGCAGTCCAGGTTCCAGAGAGGGTTCTGAGGTTGATGTTTGCAGTATCGTGACATTAAGTGACAGGCAGAAGGAAAGACTGCACACTTCCATCTCAAGAAGTTAAACTGAACCTAAACCCGCAGAATGTGGGACAAAATAAAGATATAAGCAGAAGTCAAGATTAAATACAAATACACAACACAGTCTGAGAATAGTCTAATTTCCAGCGGCCATCATAAGGAATGTAAAAAAGCACTGCAGGCCTCAAGAGATAGGAGACAGGGCCAGGGACTTAGCTCCATGGTTCCGCCACCTGCCTCACAGGCGCAAGGTCCTGAGTTCGATCCCCGGTCCCCCCCCCAAAGAGACATTTGGACTTTGTGTCCCTAACCTTGCCAACAGAGGGACAATGGAGAAGCATTACATTTTTATATTATAGAATTTGAATCTGCCAGTTAGGGAAAAAAAATAGCCTGCCCACAAAAAACCTCAGGCCCAGATGGTTCCACTGGGTAATTTTTCTAGATTGTTAAGGTAAGAATACTATTTGTTTTAAATGAATTCTCCCAGGGCAGTGAGGAAAGAACACTTCTGAAATTGTCTTAATGCCAAAATGTTAAAATATTCATCAAAATAGAAAATTATGGAACAATCTATCAGAACTGCAAAGCTAAAAAAATAAAATTCAACAATATATAAAATATTTCATAACCAAATTATTCTAGGAAAAGCTAGAGCAGGTAACATTTTTAATGTGCTATTTATCATATTAACAAAAAAATAGTATCATCTGTAGATGCAAAAAAAATAAGATTCAATACCTGTTTATGATGAAAACTTAAGGAAATCTTCAATCTTAAACCATCACTGCAGAATATACAGGACTCATCTGAAAGTTTGGAACAGGAAAACCCTGCAGAATGGGAACTCAATTGTATACTACCTATTAGTAGGAATTTATAGTTATCTATTATAAAATATAATTAGTTTGTATTCTCTTTGATGATAAAAAAATGTTCACTAAAGCTTGTTTGCTAAGTTGTACAACTGTTTGTCAAAAGGTCCTCAGTTTTTCAGTTGTGAATGTCCCTATCAGTTTCTAGAATAATAATAATTCGGGTGAGGATAGAGTATTTTGGGGGTTCCAGATCAGGAAACAGAACACATGGTCTTATAATTACATAAAATACATTCAGCACTTTTTTTTTTTTTTGGTACCAGGGATCGAACTCGGGTCCTTGTGCTTGCGCAGCAGGCGGCAAAACCACTGAGCTAAATCCCCAGCCCTACATTCAGCATTTTAACATACATTAAAGAAAAAATGGCAACCCAGGAGCTATTCCTGTGTCACAGGAACAGCTCTTGGATGACACACACCTCGCGAGAGTGTGCAGTGACCCCCATGGGCGCCCCACCACAGAGACCAGCTTCCTGAGTTCACAGGCCTGATTCAGAGTGCTGGGTATCTAGGAATGGGGCTTTTACTCCATCCTCAGACTCAAACTGATTTTGAATAATCTCTGTCAATGGCTACATAAAGTTACCATTTATAGTTGAATGTGAGGGACCGCTTGCTTGAAGCATTGCTCCAAATGTTCTGTGGATTCTAGGAGAAACCTAAGTTGTACTCTACAATTTTATTGTATTTCAGACACAAGAGAATGGTATTGTGGAATATAATCTAAAATTAGTATGAAAAGTACAGCAAATATTCATGCCTTTTAAAAATTTTTTTGACAGGTTTCACTTCTATAACACCAGTGTCAAAATTCTAAGAAATATTTGTCATTAGTGTATAATTTTATAAATCTGCTTTGGAAACAAAAATAAACATTTTCTTTCAGAACATGATGGAACTTTCAGTTTGAAAGAGAATCATACATCAAAGCAAAGGTAATTCTTAAGGTAGTTTGCTGTGTGTTTTATTTTAAACCTAACACAATTATGAATACTTCATATTTTGAGGTATAATCATTTGACCTAATTTCTTGTATTTACCACCAAAATAGTATAATGATGTGTTGTAACTTTGATCAAATTTGGTAAGAGTTGTATCTCACATTTTATCCACTTTGTTTTTAGGATTATATAAGGCCATTGAATCTAGTCAAGGAGAAATTAACAAGCAACAGTTTACATGAAACAGTTGGCTCCCTGCTGTCATGTTGACTGTACCTTTTTTTTTTTTTTTTACCTTGGTAGGACTAATATTGCTTTTTCATGACTTTTAGACAAAATTTTCTGTGTTAAAATGCAAGAGAAAATCAAAATGTCTTAAATTGGTTTTTAATTCAATGATTCAATAAGATTCTCCTACTGCCTTTGTCTTTCTTTTGTTGTGCTTTGACGTAGTGTAAGCAGCATGACTCCTTAAAACTTCGAGGAAAACATCCTGGTCCAGGAAGTCCCAGGGAGGCTGGGAGCCCAGTCCCCGTGGGGAAAGTGACCGCTGCTGGTCCTGTGGCCACAGCTGCGCCTGTTCTGGAGCGGGAGGCTGGGAGTCCAGGCCCCCGGAGGAAGCATGGGAGCTTCCGCCCCTCACTGAAGATGCAGCTTGTCAGAGATGCAACGATTTAAAAAGTAATACAGGTCCAACCTCTTGGAAAATTGTAGTTTAACCAGATTGATTGGAATCTTTTTTCATAAAAAACGACACTGACATATTTTGCAATCTTTATCAGCAATCAACATTCCTCCTAACTGCAAGATTTAATTAAAATCTGTAGTAATTTTTTCAGGGGATAGCCAAGTATTTTTCTCTGAGAAGGCAAGGGGAGTTTTAAATATTAACACTTTTGTTACACTTAATAACATTCTGTGAGTGCATTCTGAAATGTCTACTGTGTGCTGTCTTCAAGCTTCTTCAGACACAGTGCAAAATTCATTTATGTAAAAACTGTTTAATATGTGCTAACTTGTCACTGAGCAGCTTGCACCTCAGTTTGTAATGGGCTGGCATTGAACAGTAGGGTGGGGTGGGCCGCATCTGACTTGGTGAAGGCTCACAACAGCAGGGCAGCGACTCCTGATCACTCCAGCAGGGTGATGACCACATGGTCATCGCGGCCCTGCCACAGCATTTCTCCTTCAAAGTGCACCAGGCCGTGCTTCCTGGCACGCAGCAGGATGCCCACCACCTTGTCGGAAATGCGCACGTATCTGTCGAAGAGCTCTCCAAAGGTGACCTGCACACTGCTGGGCGGTCTGTGGCGCGCCATGGTGCGGATGACCAGGCACAGCTCCATGATCTCACGGTGGATGTGCTGCTCGGCGCGCTGGGCCCGCTCTGCAGTCTTGGAGCCCGCCCTGGGCCGGCCGTAGCCCTCGTCCCCTCTGTGCAGGCGCTTGGACATGGCCAGCTCATAGTCGAACTCCTCACTGAAGGGGTTGAGCTTCTGGGTCTGGATGTGCTCGGCTGCCCACTGCTGCCACCGGCCCCTCAGGCTGCCCACCTGGCTGAGCTTCCGGTGGGCCTTGCAGCTGAGCTGCTCCGAGTACCTGCTGGCCCTGCGGGAGAGAGGGCGGAGGGTCAGGACAGCAGCGTGGTGGCAGGTGCCTGCACGTGCGTCCGAGAGCGCATCGTTAGGCTTTGCTCATTGTAAATACGTGCACGCGCCCTAGCGGAAGTTGGGAAGGAAGAAAAGGCACGCGCGCCCACCACTTGGTATGGATGCACTTCCGGATTATGTTCTCCGTGAGTAACCAGGATAGTGATACTACACTAATTAAAGAAAAAATAAACTTCCTTACACAGAATTCATGCGAATGTGTATCTTCAGGCTGCGTGCAGTGACACTTAGGAACTGGACTACTCTCAGTGTCTGGGGATCCACCTCGAGGACCTCCAAATCGGTTATTTCCCAAAGACAAGCTTCACACCACCGCACGTACATTGCGCTGTTCAGTCACGTCGAGGTGCCGCGCGTGGGACTGGTGAGAAGGTAGGTACCGCTGTATCGGTGATGCAGGAAACCCTTAGGGCCTCCCGTTTCACAGAGTCCAGCAGCGCTGCGCTGCCTTCTTCTAATGCCTCCGCTCCTGCTGCCCACCGTCTGGGCGCGGTACCGCAGTCCTGCTCCACAGGCGGCAGTGCCGGGGAAACGGACTCCCCACGTCGCCAAACTGAAGCGGTGGCGGCCTGTGCTGCGAGGTGCAGGGGCGTGGCTGGAGCCACCCGGCAGGGGCTCTGGGTGCAGTGCGCGCAGGCAGAACTGTGGGCTGAGCTCCACGCGCTTCCCCTGCCTGCGGTGCTGCGCTCAGCCCGCCGCTGCCCAGCGAGCAGTGAGTTCTCCAGGTGCAAGCGCATGCGTGCGTGCGTGCGTGCGTGCGTACCCTGTGAGCCTGGAATGCATTTTCTTATCGGAACAAACCCAGTTTGGCAAGGTGGACCAGCGGTATCATGAAGGTGCAGGCCTAGTTTTAAAATGATCAAATATCGCTTTTAAGAAACTTCCCTGCCAGCCAGTTGTGGTGGTTCTGCCTGCCATCACAGCACTCAGGAGGCTGAGGCAGGAAGACCGTGGGCCCAAGGCTAGCCTGGACCAGTCAGAACCTGTCTTTAAAAACAAAACCAGAACAAACTCCCCACCATTTCTCCATTTCCAGTCTGCTGGCCGCGTTCCCCTCGCCGCCCTCCTCATCCTCACGGCCACCTGCCCTCCCTGTCCGCCGGCACGGCCTCTGGCGGAAGCACTGCCACCGTGGGGGGGGGAGGCCGTCTGCGCGGGGCCTGCTGGGCTCTGCGGGCGCAGTGCTCACCGCACCCACTGTGAGTGGGAGCCCGGAACAGTGCACAGCGCGGCTGCGTTCTCCCTGAGGTGTTCCAGGTCTCCCGGGCAGGGGCGCAGCCTCGAGCATGGCCGGATTCAGGAGGCTCTGCAGGGATGGCCTGGGCGTGCTCTGAAGAGCAGGGCCGTCGGCAGCTGCCTCAGCTCAGGAGACCGGGGCGGGCCGGGGCGGGGGGGGGGGGGAGCCGAGGTCGCACTGCCCGCTGAAGGGGGCGGGGGGCTGGCTGGCGCCTCCCGCTGGGAGCTTTCCTCCTGCCCTGGCCTTGCTCCGTAGTTTCACTGTAGCCGCATGCAGAAAACCAGGACGGACTTCACCGGGAGGGCACAGCACACAGAGACTACACTCAGTCACGACAGCTCTCCAGCTCTGCGTCTGAGACAGTGCTGCAGGCCGTCCTCCGTCCTGGTCCTCACCGTCACCTGGCCCTGCTCAGCTGCCCACGACGGAGCGAACCCTGTCCCCTGAGGCCGTGGTGGTCAAGGCCAGGCATCGTCTTCACAAAAAGCCCAGCTGCCTTGTCTTGGCAGGACCCAAGTCCCACGACCTTGAGGCCGGGGCTCCCGCCAGGAGACTTGAAGTCCGCCAGGAGAAGGTTCACAGTGGAGTTCTCCAGGTCGCTCTGTCTCCTGAGCACCAACTGTGGTCCGTCCCTCACTGCAAAACATTCCCCATGTAGAGCTTGGGGTGCTGTGACCCCAGCCCTTACTAGGGCATCTACTAGGCACCGTCTTAGGCACCTGTCAGATTTTCAGTGATGGAAAAAACCCACAAATAACCACTGACATCACATTTGTGAAAATAACCCAAGCAAGACAAATTTGAGTTTAGGACACAGTTGTAACTACATGAAACGTTTGTGCATCAGGCCGGAGAAGGCAGTAGCACATGGACAAATGAAAATCATGATGGCATCCACATGACAGTTAATTTTTTAAATCTTTTTTTTTTTGGTATTGTATTGATTTTCTAATTTCAAGGAAGCCAAACAAATAAGGAAATTCTCAAAATAGCATCCAGAGATAATTTGTTTAAACTGTATGTTATATGGGTCTCTGATGTAGGTTTTATTTTCTTCTACTTTTAAATAGGAACTTAAGACTCCCTGAGTGTAAAAACTCAGTGTCTTGGGAGACGGGAAGGGGTTGTCATGGTAGGGAATCTGTGAAGAAAAGAAACACTTATGGTTTACAGGAATCACTTTCTGACCTCATTACATTGTCAAATTGTAACTCCCAGTAATAAGAAAAGAGAAACAAAGGAAAATCATCTAATTCTGTAATCACTACATTCTTTATATTTTCAATTTTTAAAAAATCTAGAAATACCAGGTTTAAATTAGGACTAGGAATTCTATACCCTGGGTATCACGTCAGCCAATGAATCTAGTGCCAGATTATCCAGTTTTTAAGATTTTCAGGTGAAAAGGTGAAAAAGCTTACTTAAAAAGCTTTAAAACAAATCTATGTGTAAGTTGAAAGAAATCAAAGCATCGGACTGACACATCACACATATTTTAGGGGAGCAACATGGGATTCGGCTCCACTTTCTCAGTTTCTTCCTTTTTAGGAATTAAGTCTTCTTACAATCAATCCAGCAGTTCCCCCATGCTGCTGTGTGAGAAAACTGCACCTCCCAGCCACGGTAATGGGTCTGGGAAAGTCTGGCTTTGCACGCCAGAACGCTTCCCTAAACCTGCTTCTTGCCTCGGCTGTCTGGCCGGGTGTGCTATGCACGTGGGGACGCGTTCTGTCACGGCCCTGCCGCCTGGGGTGAGGCCTGCACAGGCGGGTGAGCCCCTTCCCCAGTGCTGCACGGACATGCCTGGCACCTGGGGCTCTGAGAAGGTGGAGGTGCCTCCCATAGCCCCACGCTAGAGCCTGCTGTGGCCAGGCGCCCTGGGGCGGGGCTGGTCCCGCAGTGCTGGGGAGGCTGACCCTCCTGCCCTGCCCTTTGCTAATTAGTCATGGACCCTGACACCGGAAGGCAGTGAGGTCGCCTCAGTCAGTGTCCCGAAGCTGGTCTGAGGCCTGGCCTGGGTTCTGCTTTCGCGTGGCTGCTCCCCAGAATCCCAGGAAAGAGTCCTTGGCCGGAGCACTGGGCTAGGGGAGGCAGGAGCCGCCCTTTGGGAGAGAAAGGCGCCTACAACCGACAGTCAGTGACAGAATGGTGGCACCGCCTTCCTTTCTGGAGCAACGGTTGAGATCCGCTCTCAGGCCAAAGGCCGCCTTGGACCTGGGCTGAGTTCCCTGCAGAGCTGGGACTCCCTCTGCCTGCTGCATGGGTCCCCTGGGTCCCCGAGGTCCCCAACCCCGGAAGGCAGGGTGGGGTTAGCCACCCATCCCCGGCCTGAGAACCACCTTGCTGGCATCCTGAAGGGGGGAGGGGCAGGCCCGAGGTCCAACACACGAGGGGCTTCGCGGCATGACTGTTACATGACCCCCATGGCATGGAGTGTCACCCCACTGCCAGACATGGACACAGACTTAGGAGGCCCCAGGCACCAGGATCCCCCACCCCAAGAAGGCACCCGTGCAGCCTCACTCCAGAAGTGCCAAGGGCGTTCCGGGGGACCCTGGACAGGAGTGGCAGGGACCAGCGGCTCTGGTCTGCGGTGGGGTGGCACTGCCCTTTGGGCCTTCCTGGCCTCTCAGATCCCGACCTGCTCCTGGACTCCAGTGACCCCGGGCCGGAGTGCAGGCTTTGTCCACTTACTGAGAGGCCAGGGGGCGCTTGATCGTGGTGGCGGCTGCCTGGGCCACCTCCTGCTCCGGCTGTTCCTCCGCCTCGCCGTAGCCGCTGTCCTCCGTGTCCACACTGTCGCTCTTCCACGTGGACGCCTCCCGCCCCAGCTCCTTCCAGCCCCTGCTCAGCGCCGACACCAGGTGGCCACACTTCCTCCTGCGGGTCGGGGACTCGCGGCTGTGGAGGAGCCTGTCCAGGGCGTCCTCAGGCTGTGCGGGGCCACCCTCCTGCTTGTACTTGCGGCTGAGGACGCGCACGTCGCCCCCTCTCTCACAGGCCTTGCTCAGGATGCTCTTGCTCACCTCTTTCCTTCTGATGCGAGAGGCCTCAGTGGCCTCCTCTGGGCTGTGTCCATTTTCGTTCCCCCCAGGCTGTGAGGTCCGGGACTTTGTGGTGCCCCGAGCTTCCTGCAGGGCAGCAGGGGGCACAGCTGGCTGGGGAGCAGGGGCTGCATCCTGGGTCCCTCCTGGCACCCAGCCCGCGGGCTCCTGGGCCTGCCTGGTGCTGTTCTCCGTGGCCCACTGCTGCCAGCCACGGGCCAGGTTGATGACCAGGGCGGCCGTGCGCACCTTGCGCAGGCTCCTCTTGCCCAGCCCCCCCTCTCTTTCCTTCTGTCCGGGGGCCATGCCGCCTGCCCTACCCGGCCCTCCTGAGGCCTGTGTGTCTAAAGTGAGCGTGGCCCAGCGAAGAGCCCGGGCTTTAAATAGAAGGAAGGGGTGGGCAGAGAAGGGGACCCGGGGACGGTGGAAACTATGAGAAGCACTGGGCACCAGGATGTGGTGCCTTTGCCCTGATGGCATTCTTTTTTTAAACCCTGACAGCTCCAGTTTTCATCGGGCAGAGGGCCATCTCGCTGGTGAAGGACAGTGACAAGCTCCCTCCCTGCCTTCCCCAAGTGCCACAGTAGAAATTACTAGATCAGATCATGTGCTCAGCCTTATGTCTCCCTTGACCTTAAACCGTGATCCTATCGCTTACAGCAGCCTGTGGTGTGTGTACAAACCGCACCCAAAACAGTATGGGCTTTCCCAGACCTCAGCCTGTAATACAGCTGTTATTCGGTCCCATTTTATACCTGAGCAAAATGCATTTGAACTGCCTACTGCTGAGCCTCAAACCCAAATCTAACCCAAAGCTTGAACCTCCTGTAGTCTTACCAAAGATCCTATGTTATATTTTTCTTTTGCCTTCAATTTAAACCTTCGAAGATCATTGGATCCAATTTTCCAGATGAGAAAAATCAAAGTCCAGAGGGAAACCAAGTTCAAATAGTTAAAGGCTAATTGAATTTTAGAAGCTATAAATCTTTTTGAATATTTGGTTTAAAATATATAGAGACAAAACAAATGAGTGCTATCGGAAGTACACAGAATTCCTCCCTGCTTTGTTTTAAAGTTGGCTTTAAGGTTCACAGAGGCAACGACATGTTTTTCAACCTTCAGAACAAAGACTGAACTTAATATTGTTCAAAGATCTAGAAAGACAGGTCATATGGACAGTAAAAGAACCATCGAAGCAGTATATTAAACCAGAAAGAAGTGCACAGGCTCAGCACTGAATACTTTCTTAAGACAAATAAGATAATTTTCCTCATTCGACAGTTCTCTGGGCTGACCCTGTGTCCTTTGAACCTGCACGCAGTTCATCTACTGATGGAAAACTGCTGTCAGACAACATTAATAAAAGTATGAAAGTTAATTACTTCTGATGGTGAGACACATTTATTTGGAAAACAATGTTGACGTCCGCTTTTCATCCTGTTGGTGGTTTATGTTCTAGTATTAAAACTATCTGGGAGCGGATTTAGTACTCTGTTCTCAGAGTTCAACAGCATGAACCGTGTTAACCGAGGGCCAGCAGTGCAGAATCAAAGTCCCTGCTGATTAATCAGGAGGAAATTGGATCACACGGAAAGAAAACTACCCAAGCCGAGGTTTAAATCCGTGTCAGGACTCTCCGGAGTTCCTCCCTGGAATGGAGGCTCCTCCCAGCCCCGGCCACACCTCGCAGGTGCGAGCGGTGTAGGGGAGACCAGACGCTCGGTGCGAAGGGTCTTCACGCGCACGTGCCCGGCGCTGCAGCTGGCGCCTGCGCTTGGGCTGTCTGCTCACTTCCTTGGTAGGAAACAGAAGCAGCCCCTTAAAACTCTGGTCTTGGGAGATTGGTGTCCATAGCTACTGTGCCCCTTCAAAGGCCAGCGCTGCAGGGTGTGGAAAGTTTGCCCGCCGGTGGACGCCTGCCGTTCCTTCCCAAGAGCGAGGTGTATCTCCTCCCCTGCAGCAGGGGATTCCTATAAACGGACGTCTCTTTCTCAGTCTAGATCCAGATTCTTGGGAGGTACACCTTGTGTTTTACCGTGTGATGTAAAAAAGAAAGGAAAATAAAATCTCAAAGATGTAGGTCAGGTAGGAAGAGATTTACAGAGTTTCCTGTAGAGCTTTTTCCTGTGAAGGTTGGAAGCTGGAGGTGAATTGCAGACACGATTAACGAAGTAATTACCACCTAAGCAATTTGTGACACGTGTGAAATTGTTTTTCAAAATGGATGTTATTATTTGGTCCCATGAAAAATGCTTGGAAGGGGAGAGAGGTTATTTACACATTTCTCCGTATGATACACTTGGAAGTCAGGTGGAGCCAACCTGCAAAGCCACTGACTTGTAAAGAGATTTTAGAAACCTGCATTTGCTCAAAGCTCATATAAAACGCCCATTTCTTTGTTAAAAGTAAACATCGCGTATATCTGAGGTTTACAGCATGATGTAATGGGATACCTAGACAGAAAAACGATTACTACGTGAAGCAAATTAACGTATTTGTCATCTCACGTAGTTACTTTTTGGACAAAAACAGTAAGATCTACTTAGCAAAAATCCCTAGTACAATTTTACTAAGTGCAATTTCATTTTCTGTTTCTGCGTTCCATCTCCAGGTCTTCTCATCCCACAGACAGCAGCCGCATCTTCCCATTTCCTCTCGCAGCCCTCTCCCCGGTACCAGTCTCTCCTGTGAATGTTTGGCCTCTGTTCATTCAGCTTCCCACCCTGTGCTTCGGGAGCATTCTGGTCACGACAGACGGTCGGGGCTCGTCCCCTCACGGCTGGACAGTGCTCTGCGCCTGTCCACCCCGTCCCGTCCTTCTGCTCTGCGTGGATGACGCCGGGTGGTTCCGTGTCTTGGCCCTGAAGGCAGGAGTCCGTGGAAGGTGTGGGCTTCGTCCCCTGGGGTAGGTGTTCGAGGGCGGTGCTGGGTCACAGGTAGCCTCGTTCTCTGCATTTCCTAAGCAGCTGCTCGGCCGCACGCAGAGAGTGAGCAGGCTTCCTTCCCGGTGCCTGCCTGGCCCGCGTTCGTCCCGTCTTTCCGATAACAGACATCCAGACTGGCGTGAGGGATGTCTTGTCTTCCTTGGAGAAACGTCTGTTCAGAGCCTTTGCTCATTTTACAAGTGGATTTTTTTTTTTGCTATTAAGTTGTAAATTTTTTTTTTTTTTTAGAAATTTTGGCTATTGACCCCTTATCAGATACGTGGATTGCTGAGGGCCGGGTATTTAGCTCAGTGGTTTTGCCGCCTGCCTCGCAAGTGCAAGGTCCCGAGTTCGATCCCTGGTACCAAAAAAAAAAAAAAAGATACGTGGTTTGCTAATTTTTCTCACACCATAAGTTGCCTTTTCATTTCATTGATTACTATGCAGACATTTTTTAATTTAAGGTGGTCCCATATATTCATTTTTGCTTTTGAAGCCTGAGCTTCTAATGGGATATCTCGACATTGTTGCCATGGCCGATGTCCAAGATTTATTTTCCCTATGTTCTTTTCTAGGAGTTTTATGATTTTGGGTTTTACAGTTAGGCCTAAAGGTCCATTTTTATTGGTTTTTGGATAGGGGTTTAATTTCATTCTTTTGCCATGGAAAGCCAGTTTTCCCAGCACCAGGTTGTTGAAGAGACCACACTTTTCCTGTTGTGTCTTTTTGGTGACCTTGTTGAAAATTAATTGACTATATTTGTTGTGTTTATGGGCCCACTATTCTACTCCATTGGTCTACATTTCTGTTTTTATGCCAGTGCCATACTGTTTGGATTACTACAGTTTTGCCCAGTAATTTTAAATCAGGAAGTGTGCTGCACCAACTTCTTTTTCTTTTTTAATATTGCTTTGGCTACATGGAAGTTTTTTATGGTTCCATATGAATTTTAGAATTGTTTTCTCTATGTAAAGAATGCAAGTGGAATGTGATAAGGATTTCATTGAATTTGTATACTGCTTTGGAGAGTATAGATATTGTAACAGTTTTAATTTATCCAACCCATGAACATGGGATATATTTTCATTTATTTGTGTCTTCTTCAATTTCTTTCATTGATTTTTTTTAAAGTTTTACTGTATAAATCTTTCATTTTCTTAAATTTTTCTGAAGTATTTCTTTCTGTTTTCATAAATAAGATTATTTTCTTGGTTTCTTTTTTAGCTAAGGCATTTGTGTGTGTGTGTGTGTGTGTGTGTGTGTGTATTTGTGTGTAAATGCTACTGGCTTTTAAATGGTAATTTTATGCCCTGAAACTTTACTGAATTCATTTGTTAGTCCTTATAGCAGTGTGTATATGCCTGTGTGTGTTTAAATATTAGATCATATCATCTATAAATAGTGATGATTTTACTGCTTTCTAATTTGGTGGCTCTCTTTTCTCTCTCTCTTTCTTTCGTTCTTTCTTCCCTTTTCTTCTTTTTCTTTCTTTTTTTCTCCCTTGTCTGATTGCTGTTACTAGTACTTCCAGTACTTTGTTAAACAGAAGTGATGAGACTGAGTATCTTTATTTTATTCTAGATCTTAGTAGAAAATCTTCCATACTTCTACTGATAAAATTTTTTATCCAGAAAGAAAGTTGAACTTTTTAAAATTTATTTATTTAATGAAAAAATAAAACAAAATTTTATAACAAAATAAGAGAATAACAGTAGTTAACATACTGTACACCATAATCTTAAAAGTAGTTTCTCAGAGTATAAGACATAGACAGAAAAGACTCTTACAAGAAAGAAACAAATAATAGCACATCTATGCTAATTGTTTTCATTGATACTGCTAGTTTCTCTTAGTTCATTGAAAGTTGAACATTGAAAAATGCTTTTCTGTGTTGGTTGAAATAATCATGTCATTTCTTTTTCATTTCACTACTGTGATTTATCATATTTATTGATTTACACCTGATAAACTACCCTTCCCTGCCAGGAATAAATCCCACTTGGTGGTGACATACACTCTTGCATGGCTTGTTTAGTATGGTTTGCTAATATTTTACTGAGAAGCCATAATTTCATCAACTTCTCTACATAAGCTAATAAGTCCTTTGGTCATACAGTTGGTGAGAAAAAGACTTTAATGAAGAGATAAAAGAGAACTGACTGCAAATGAATCTATTCACTGTTCTTGGAGGGCACACAGTGGGTGAGGCTTATGGCCTCCAAGTGCGAGGGCCCAAAATGAATCTCTTTCCAAGGCTGAGCCAGTCTAGCCGAAGATACACATTAATAGCTGGGAAAGAGCTCTGTTAGAAGTACAAAGAAAGCTTCAGGGTTGATTGAATTTATTGGAAAGACTTCACAGATGTGGCCCAACGTTATCTGGACCTTAAAGAGTAAGGAGGACTTGACTGGTGGATAAGGGCGCTC